CCCAACCGTACCATCCAAACTACTATGAACCAATACTTCACTTAAACATGTCCTCTGAGTTGAGCCCTGGGCCTACAATGGCCTATCAGTGTACATACAACCTGGTCGCGCCTCCATAACAACTCCTCGGAGGGATGCGCCGCCCCTTGGAGCAGCTAGGAGCATTCTTTCTCACGAAAGCAATGGTTCTGGCCTTCCTAGTGCCTCTTCTAGTTCACGAGATTTAATATTAAGATTTTTTTTACTTGCCCTGCACTGTAGTAATAAGAATGTTGACAAATTTCTTTTCAGTGGTGGTTCTACTAGTTTGTGCATTTGAATTAACAGGGCACTGGAACTTATGATATGTTTTGTTTTTCACAGTACAGTAGTAGCTCATGTTCATTCATAGCAAATATCATGCTGCGCTTGAGATTCTGGTATGACGTTTTAGTAAAAGTTGAGATTTTACTACTGTAGTTTACAGATGCATACACACATTGTATAATTGGGTGATTCCCGTTATTATAAATTGCTAAATAACATGCTAAATCTAGCGGTTTGGTAATTCTATAATAATGGGAATCAAAATTTCAACAGACAGACAGCAAGGAAGGCAGGCTTCATCTCAATCTTTTTGGGAATCTGGAATCTTGACTATAATTCAATGTAAACACTGTCTTCAGATTCTGGCGCGCTTTCTGTTGAATCTTACAACGGACTCCAAATTTTGATTTGTTGGTTCCGTAATAGATCTGGCACATTTTGAATGGGTGTCTTTGACCCATTCAAAATTAGCTAAATTTTGGTCTGTCTGTCTATCAAATTTAGTATTCTGTAATAACAGGAATCACCAATTGGAAATGCTTGAAATTGTTGTTATCATGTTATCATTTACTCTATGATTGCATCCAGTTTGGATGAAAATTAAAATGTAGTTATGTTGGCCCCAACAGGCCTTCTATATAGAAGAAGCTATGGATGTACAAGTTTAGGTAGTGAAGCCCTTTCCTCTTGTTTTCCTTCATTATTGACTTCCTTCTTCGTAAGGAGAGACATATCTTCAATGCAATCATCACCGAAGTCACTGTCTCCAGAAATATTCTCATCATCTGTATTTGAACCATGACATACATCAATTCTAAAAAGGTCTTTCGAAGAACTTGACGACCCCGAAGAAAAAGTTCTGTTCCGCCGAGACCTTCCCAGCACTCGCGCCCTGAACTCGCCCAAGGTGAAGTTGGACGTAGACAAGTCCGTTGAGTAAGAAGTAGCGCAAGAATCACCAGAGGTAGATGCAAGAGACGTTTCAGATTCATAAGATATACCACGGGCTAAGCCTCTACCGTAGCTTCTTCGTGTGGGATAACGATTAGAGAGTCTTGTGTTTGGTGCCGGCAACTCTCTGGTGTAATCCGCAGCGATTCGCTCTGCCGACCTGGACTCTTTTACGTCGTTTGCAGACGTCGACGACGCAATCGAATTGGTACTCCTCTTTCTTCGATCAAGCAGCGAAGAAGTAAAGGAATTGCGTCTTCGTTGGGCAATACCAAAGACCATGTTTTTGTCATTGACGGTGGAGTTTTCCGGAGTGGCTGAAGGATTGTTATTCCAATCAAAATTTTTACTACCCATCCGGCGTATGATAGAGCTCCTCCGAGCAAAAGAATTTTTTATATCAGTCGAACTACTGGTCAGCAGACACGAAGGAACCGTTGTGGAACCAGTGCTAGGCTTCACCAAATTCTTTGTCGAGGAGCGGAAAGAGTTGACAGAACCGAACGCATTAAAGGATAGAGATGAGTGCGTAGATGATACAGAATTATCACTTCTGCGTTGCGTCGAGACCTTCGCACTTTTAGTAGACATTCGTTCTCTTTGGAGTAATGCTGTTTCAACACGGAGTATATTTACAACCCTCTTCATGGTTGGTCTCTTGGTGTGGTCTCCGTCCCAGCAGCTTGAAATTAAGTCTCTCATCGTTTTCGAGGATATACTCGTCAAATCCGGACGATAATTGTGGACAAATACATCTTGAATGAATTCTGTACGTCCCCTATACTGCTTGTAAGGTTTTTCCAATGTGCATAGCTCATACAATAACACCCCAAACGAATAGACGTCTGAGGCAAGTTTGGCCCCCTGCCGAAGTCCGATTTCTGGGGCCATATACCGAATGCTACCTGCGACCTCAGACTTGTGAACCGTATGTAATTCGCGAGCAAACCCAAGATCAAAAATGATAGGAGCGTTTTTCTCATCAAATCCAACATTGTCGGGCTGCCACAAACAAACATCCAAAAAAAATCAAGGCATGAAAACAATGCAATGTATGAGAAATGGAATTGAATACAACCTGACGACAGTCGATGCCGAGCGTTGTAACAACCAAAACATGTCTTTACACTAAAGCATACGTACCTTGAGGTCTCTCAGGATAACATTGTTTTCGTGAAGATATTCCAAACCCTTGGCAATCCCGATTGCTACATTTTGAATCAAATCTAGAACAGATGGAGCAGTTCCACGCCTTCTCTTTTTGACCAACTTCCGCATCTTCGCTAACCGGCGTGTCAGCGTGTCTCCCAATACATCAATCAAAAGGAAATATCCGTGTTTGAAATCCACGTAGGACGTCTTAGGGTCACCTGAGTAGACTCCGTGCAGCTTGATGATGTTATCGTGGCGAAGCCTGGAGAGCATTTCCCCCTCTATAGCTAGATCGACAGCGGCAACATCAAAATCTTTCGATTCATCCGTAATATCTGGCTTGATGTGCTTAAGTGCATAATACTTCTGGTTGTCCAAAGTTGTGGCTTTGCTTGCATCATTTACATTCATCGACACTTGTACTTTGTATACCATAGAATACGCACCTTGTCCCAACACGTTTTTCTTACGTATCGCGGACCAAGGGACGCTGTGCACTTCATCATCGAATCGATCCAACCTACTCTTCTCTGAAAAGCGTTTCATGTGGTTGAAGGAAGCATGGCCCGCCGCAAGTTTCTTGCAAAGAATTGGTTCCCAGCCTTTCTTGCACCTCTCTTGTTGATCTTGACCACAATCTTCCTCCGCCTCCTGACTGATGGGTTTTCTCATGTTGGACGAAGAAACGGCAAAAACTATGGATTGCGTTGTTCTTTGGCTGTATTCTTGTGTGTTGACTATGGGACCTTTTGTGCTTTGCGTAAATTTGCAGTTGTACAGATGTTTCAGATGTGAAGGCTAAGTGAGGATTACGGAAGATGGCAATTATGTACACTGTTCGAGTACCAGTACCGTGTCTAGGAGAAGACTCGGAGATCGTGATGGACGATGGAATGAAAAAAATACAGAAGGTCCCCAAGCAAAGCAGCGTCAATATGCCGCTGGCGCTACATGTCACCAACAAGCAATTTGGTTATCAGTACGGCGACAGCACGCGCTGGATAAAATTGGTGAAAAGCTATATTCTTTTAGTCGCTTCATTGCCAGAAATTGGTTATGTCACGAACAACATAAGCTTTGGTCGTGCATTTTTTAATTGGATGGCATAAGAAACAGGCGAAAAACAAACGAACAAGTGAACTCCTCTATTGGAGAATCATACATGTGAATCACCGACTGAACCTTGAAGTAACAAATTCTTTTGTTGAGGTTCAAGAAAGAACCCAATAAGTAGATGTCGATTGACAAAAGGTGATTTTCAGAATGATCCGACAATTGAAGCTGTATTCTTCCCATCGCGCGCCTGAGTTCTTTTCAAAACGAGTTTTTAGCGGAAGAGTAAGTAACCTGTTGTCCTACGTTCTTCATTTTACGATATTATCGGTTGGAACAGCAAAAAGTCTATCCAAATCTGGGAAGATTCTTAATAATATCGTCGGGACATTTTGTGATATTCGTAAACTACTAATGCCTGTACAGTAGAGACAAAGTACACACAAGTTCTGAAGTCGTAAAGTGATGAAAAGACTCGTCTTTCTTCGGTGTCCCATTGGGAGTTTTCACGAAGAGCGAAAAGGTCTCTCTACTAACTGGTAAAAGTACTCTGGTACGAAATCTCGTTGGAAATGAATGGCTGTAAACAGACAAATTTGATGGATTCAATACCGTTTATTGTCCGAGTACTCGTACCTACTGTACGTAACATACCCTAAGCAGGGGTCATAATTTAGACTTTTAAGTACCGACTTAAGGTACCGTATGACAATCAGGAGCACTCATATTCATAATCGTCTGCAAAAAGAGGGATAACCCGTGCTCTATGAGTTCATCTACCGGTACTGTGGAGAGATCGGCCCCCAAAACTATTGACACCCAAAATCCGACCGTCTGTCATCTTCCAGGTCGCGGAGAACCCTTGTTCTATGATGCGCAAACCGAGTACTACCACAGGTCACAATTTTAAAATGAGACGGGATCTAAATTCGATTCGCGATTGGTCAGAAACAGCCGGCAAAAGTAGAGGTGGTGATTTCCTTGATGTGCAGAGCAATCACAAATCACCCAAAAATCACGAAACGAAACATCAAATCCAATCAATAGTTTGTGTTTTATTTTACAATTGCAACAACGACTGGAAGCAACTATTTTTAGTGTAAGGGCCGGTCGGTCAGGGCATGGCATGCCGAACTTCAACTTTTCTCTTTACTAGTATTCCAAAGTTATGAAATGACAAAACGCTCTCTCTGATAATCATTACAAATAGTAATAGAATACACCGGCATTACCGTACCATCAACACTCTGAGCACTTCGTACAACCTAAAATTCACGTATGTTGTCAAGCCAACGCCACAAGCAAAATCCGAACCATCCGCAACAAGAAAATCATCAATAGAAGAGAAGTGAAACAAATGTAAGCTGCATAAAGTGAGCAAGTGTGACGTACGAGACAACACCGTCATTCGCTTTGTTTCGCTCCMTCATTACTCACCTATCAGCTTTTCCAATTGTCTTCGGCGGTCCGGCACAGCAACACGCAACAATGACAAGGCTTTCAACGCCACCAAAATCGAAGAATCGGCTCGGCATTGCCGACAGCAATGTCCGCCCCATCGAAGGCAACCGCAGGAGCCAAAACATACCCCTTCCAATGTCTCACATGCATCGAACTCAGTCCGAGGTACAGCTTTGCGAGGATATGGAAACAGCCGAACAAAGAGACCTGAATATGTTTTACCGCGTGGTAAATGGTATCCGCGATCGGCAGATGCAACTGGTGCGAGAGAATAAATCTTCCGTTGCTGCCGCTGCATTCTATAATCCGGCGCATGGTCTAACGGAAGCGGAACGTAGTCTCGCTCATATAATCCATACCAGGAACGCTCCGTTAGATAGAAAGAATGGCAGGGACAACAGCAGCAACAACGCAAGACGAACCAATTTGAACCTCATTGGAGCATCAAACCCACAACAAATCCATACCGGTTTGAATTCAGGAGTGCCAATCCTTGAAGATCATTCCGAGTGCGATCTGATGGAACACGAGAAGGAATCATACGAAAGGACTGGTGCTGAGGACAACGAGTGGTCCGTCGCCGGGTTCGATAATGATTCTCCAAACACAAAAATGTCCCTCGATAGTCGGCAAAACGAGCACTACCAATACCATCAGAACCTTTATCAGCAAGAATCCACTGTTTACCACGATCAAGGTGTGAGTGCTGCTGCTCCTATGTATGAAAAACCAACCAACACTCTGAGTACCGCAACCCTGAACCCTTCACGATCCTCGAGCAACATTGTGGATGAAGGAATGTTTGATTTTGAGTTATAGCAGACACAAACTGGCGAACGCGGGAAGATCTTCGTTAGAACCACAAAAACGAATAAAGCAACAACAACAGTCACCATACATCACTACAGCAATACGGACGCACCCAAACTTCGCTACAGATATGCGGCAAAGCCCGCTTCAATGGCGAACAACAATATCGCAACAAAAACAAATCACATACATCACCCAATGCTATGCTAAGCTATTTTGAATACAACGAATAATAAATCACGCAGCTAACATACATGTTTTTCATCGTATCGAAAACACGGAGGAATCCACCTACAACGGGTTCACCCTAATGCAACATCACACCCTTTTGATTTAACCACGGTCAACCACCGGAACGGAATCGATACGATTCATAATTAGCAAACTAACATCTTAATAGAATTAAAACTAATGCTCTGAGGTTGTTTTTCTTCTTTTTCTCCCATWGCACAGGATTCTCCTTCAAAAACGAACTATTGCTTCCGACTCACATGTAGGAATAATTGGAAACGGCATCAATCTGCGTGAGAAAAGCTTCTCAGAAGGTAGAAATTCCACTCCCGAAACTGTAAGAGACATGCATTCTAGGGCCAATGACAATAAAAGGGACGACTCGACAACGCAGGCAGCTAGTTCGAATGTTCTTCTTCTGGGGAACAATGTGTGGCTATCGTCCAATCATTCGGATTGGTATGTTCTGGAAGTTTGGGAGCACTGGCTTGACACGTTCCTGACACAGTTTCGCAATACAATACACCGTTTGCAATACGAGCCTCAGGTTGGACAGGTTTTCCATGGTATTGCAATCGGTCTTGACACCATCCTTCTTTGACACAAAACGTCCACAACCTGGTCCTATCGTATTAGTTTTTAACTTGTTCTACGGCTCGCCTTCTTCTTTTGATTCTATGACGTGTCATCTTCAGAATTAGACTACTTTGACTAAAAAATAAGAACGACAATTCGTGACTAATCTATTCTATTCACTATCCATTCATTATTTATATTGGTCACATTCGATTACTCCGATCCAACGGTCATTTCCTCGAGAAACGACAACGAGGCTGACAAACCGATCGGGGAAGGAGACGGTGTCAGTAGCGGTGACGGCGACCATGGCAGAGAAGAGTACAACCGGTCGGACAACTAGAATTTTGCATCAGCTAAGCATTCCAAAAACCTTCGCGACGAAAAAGAACAGACGTCCTTTCGTCTCGTTTCGTTCCCTTATCAAAACACAGAATGGCGGCCACTCCAAACGGCAACCGCGACCCGAGTCCGAACAAAAACAAAACCAGAAACGGGAGCGGCGATGGGGGTGCGAAACAGCAAGGCGGGGTAGCTCCCAGTCCGAGATCAGGGGGATCATCTGCGGCCAGTTTAAATAATGCCAGCAAGGCAGCGGCCCAGATGCAAAAGATGAGAGACGCCAATTCCAAGTACAAGAACCTTCTGAAGATGGCTAAGGAACGGATTGAGCAACAAGAAGTCGAGTTGAAGGAACTTCGGGGTGAGTACCAGAACGAATTTTCAATTTTATTGTTCGTCTCGTTCGCAAAACAACTCTGGCTAGAGCGTTCGGAAATGTGCTGGATACGGATTATGAAAGTGATACAAGATGGGCATGTACGTGAAAGCATGAATATTTAAGCTACCATGCATATGCTGTACTATTTTTCAATTCGGTATCCCTCATTCGAGTATGCACATTTTTATAAATTCTCAACAATGATGCTGGTTTGCTCCGGCTACGGCGAAACAGAAGCGGAACGAAAACGGATGGAAGAAGAAGTTGCATCGGGAAATAGCCGTGAAATTACTGCGAACGCGAAGCCCTTGGAAGACGCGAACGACGACTTGAATAGTAGTGACTGGAACCTTACCCGAGTCTCACAACTGATCCGGGTCGATTTAGAATCCCACGAACTGAACACGCGAGGGTTGAATCATGAAATATGGGCTCTTTGCCACTTTGAGCTCGAAGAGACAGACGAGCAAAAATTTCTGATCAACAATAACAATAGCGATAGCACAAATAAAAAGAAACAATGGAAGCGTTTCGATGCCGAATCCGATCTGACAGATTTCATTCGCTGTGATAGAGGAGAACCCCTCACATTGCCACCCTATTCGCTAACGCCACGGCAGTCTTCCAGGACTGTGTCCGAGGCCGACAAGAAGGTTTCTGACATAACCGAAGAATATCGGCGCTTTCGAGTCAAGTCTGAAATGACCCGGAAACAAATGGACGCACAGATTCGAGATTTGCAGTCCTCTCAAGTAGAAGCCACAACGCGACAAATCGAGGGACAGGAGCACGCCGAGCAAGGAATGGAATCATCCCGGGGCACGGAACACAGCCAACTGGAACGAATGCGTGCCGAAGCGGCTAGGCAGGAAGACCAATGGAGGGAGGCCTACGATATTTTGCTGAAAGAAAACGAAGCCCTAAAAAGTTCGGGCTCCGAAGCCCTCCTAGCTTCGCAATGGCGACAGCGCTACGAAGCTTGTTTAAAGGAACGGGACGAGGCCGTGAACAAACTTCAATCGGCTCAACAAAGACATGAGCAACATAAGCAACAACAACATTCGGCATCCTTTTCGTCACCGCCCGGCATTCGTGACGGAAAGATCAGCAAGGGCGTTGGCAACGAGGGAAAGTACGAGATGAAGTATCGGGACCTGAAGGAATCCTTTCGGCTGTATAGAAAGAAAGCGAAAGAGATATTCGAATCACAGGCTGCCGCAGCAGCTACCAATAATAGCGCTGGTGGGAAAAAGAATGCCGCCGACATGATGGTCTTACAAATGTCCCAGCAACATTCCAATGCCGAGGAAGAGTCCAAGCTAGATTATCTGAAAAACCTGATGGTCAACTATCTGACGGCCGACCAGGAGACCCGAGATCACATGGAGATGGCCATCGGGACCGTTCTGAAGTTTACGCCGACCGACATCGCCGCGATAAAGAAGAAAAAGGAGGACGATGCGAGCTGGGGAGCATATATTGGATACACATAAGATTGATCACCAAAGCATAACCAAGCTATTACCATACTATAACTAGTCACTATTTTGTGCGATGTGCGACACGTTGATTTGATTCGAAGATATTCTACCAAACCAAACCAACGAAATCCGTCAACCAATTGCTTTCATCGCTTTTCAATCGAACTCCAAACTACTTCCTAACATCGCGTATGTTATGTCTACTAGTAGTAATATTCAATGACCTCAACACAATTTTGCCCGAATATCCCAATTCTCGTTTGAGAAACCTGGGTCCGTCGTTTTGTCTTGCCATCCACGAATATGACAAGATGCAGTGCGTATAAGTTCGTTGTCGTCTCGCCACTAGCGGTTGCGGCAAAACTAGATCCAATACAGCAAAGCTTTATTTTGTTCTGGTGGCGCATCTCCCAATCTTTTCCAAAACATTCCCACCGTCGAAACGATCAGCCCTAAGAAATCCCAAGGTAGGTCGGATCGCACGTTTAGCTTAGACCTTCACCATGGCGTCCGTCTCGACAAAGCTGTGAAGCATACGCCTATTGTACTGTGGAAATGCCTCGTACAAGGCTGCTGCTCGCTTTTCCATTAGCCGTGAAGTGTACGGTTTAATACCGAGGTTTTGCATGTTTTGCCTGTCATGGTTCAATTTTATGAAGGAGCGATTGAGCATTTAATGATTCAAAGACCGTATATTTAGATGAGTTGCAATCTTTGTATCGTTTGCTACTTTGGAACATTAAAATGATTTTCCTCCATCGACATCGATCGAACATCAAACTTCTTGTAATTTACTTACCTGGCGACTTGCAAGCAAAGCAACGTGTAACTAGCCGTTCCAAGGACAGGTTCCATCCAGTTCCAAGTCCATGCTCCGGTTTCTAAATGATTTTCCAATCGAATAAACACAAAAAGGAACGCGACGCATTGCGACATATATTCGGTGAGCGACCAAAAAAATCTGACGAAAGCAACAACAACAAAAACAGCTGCACACAATGACGAAGCCATTTGCAACGAACCAAAAACTTACCGAGCGCTGTCTCGAGGTCACTGGGTTCTGGAATTTCCATGGTCACGAAAGCAAGGTTGAACCACTTGGCGACATCGATCGAAAATACCATCGGGATGGCTCCAAAGCCTGTTACAACAGCGGTGGCAATCGCAACTTTGTAAGGCAAGGCGGCCCTGGTCATTCCGTCTTGGTTTTTCGCTGCGATTTTTTCAATAACTTCGCCGGCGGCCTCATAGTCGATGTCGTCCGTCGCCATAATGTGGCGTCTGAGGACTTCCACCCGGGCCCCGTGGTTTTTCATTTCGGCAATCACCACAAGTGCCTCGTTTTCCATCTCAGAAAATTTCCAGCCCATGCTTCTGGCAACTTCGTTGGTGGGGATCTGGATCCCATCCTGGGCGGCACCTATCGATGGCTGATTGCCTTTAATCGCAACATCCCCCTTTTGTTTTTGCATATAGCGCCGGTACGCGGGCGAAGTCATGTGCCGCGCAAAACCGGGCTTCTGCTGTTCGTCGGAGGTTGGGGATGGCAGGGGTGTCTGTACAAATGCGGCGAGGGCATTCTGGGCGTCCTTTCGGCTTCGAAAGAGGTTCCTGGTCAGGGTGGAGCGGGCGGTAATCATTTTTTCACTTTTTAACTCAGCTGCTGTAGTTCGTTCAACTGTATTGTAAGCTGCTCAGGAGAGGTGTGTCAAATTCAGTGTCGTGGGGAGTTCGCTTCGAGGATTTCCGAGGATGCGGAAAAGTGCGGTCATTCGAAATGGGTTCTCTCCTTCACTCTTCAAGAGACGTACGGACGATACGGTCGTGTTTCATTCTTGCATGCAGGTGTAGCCGTTGGATTCCGCTCAGGTTTACAGTATTCCTGTTGACGAGACCTATGTAGTTCAACCTTCTTGCACGTGGCACTCCTGCTCTTACAATGTACGAAGTACTGCACTTGTAATTTATTCGTGGTTAACAAAACCTGTTTTTAGGGATACATTTTTGGTTCAGGGGAATGAACTTTCGTCTGATACTCCAACCATTTTCATTACTGTAATTTCTTCAGAGGCAGCATATTGATAAGTATTCCTATGACCAAAGAACTAAGAATCCACGAACCCTCGATGAGAAAGACCGTCTAGAATCATCTCGACACACAGTCTGTACTGGCACGAGACAAATGCCAGGGATCATAATAGGGGTGTGCAACGAATTGAAAACTCATATTCCACGTGTGGTCCAAATTTCCAAAAATTCACCCCAGGGTTTTTTTGTTTTTTTAATTCTCATTTTTACTTGACCAGTACTGGTGCTGTAAACTACTCTCAAGTTGAGCTAACCAGTCTCATGAGCTTGTTATTGGACACGCTCCCTATAGATGCTGAGGGCTGGGATGTGCTTCTTGTGGCAATGCAGAGAGATGGCCTATAGGTAGGACCAAGAAATCCATCAAGACTAAGTATAGTACAGCTGTTATTCTTCTTGTTGGTACTGGAGAGGAGGACTTTGATTAAAAGAACAAGGCTAAGGAAAGTAACCATTGTGTCTCTCTCCACCATGGTCAGTCCCTGTATTGATTGCCTGATCAATTGTATTGAATTGTATTGATTGTATTGAATCCAAATCATATTGATTGTATTAATATTGAGGAACGTCTTTGTGATTGATGATTCTATCTGGTGCATGATGTAACTAAACTTCCTTATTTGGTAAACTTCCTTCTTTGAAAGCAACCACAGCAAAATATCAAACATAGGATTCACCCTTGGAACACCTCATTTCCATCAGGGGAGAGCCCCCGTCCTACATAGAAGTAGTAGCCTCCTCCTGCAAGGTCATTCCTTCTTCTTGGTAACTCTTCATGAGGTACCTCTGGATCAGTTGCTGCTGCTGGTGTCTTCATGAAGGTTGATAGGATCTGGTTGTGTCCTATGGTACTGCACTGAAAGTTGTACAAGTTCATGAGAAGGTTCATGGTTGTGATTTGTCTTTCTCCCTGCTCCTTAAAGCACATCTGGTCTTTGATTCTTGCTGGGAACTGTCCCTGGATCATTTTCATCCCCCATTCAGACATCTGTCTCAATGATGTTGCATCCCTGTTGGGGAGTATCAAGTCTGGTTGTTCCAGGTCTCTCTGTGAGCTCTTGACGAGGCTATCCTTGCAATCTTTCAGAGCAAATGCTGAATCCACCACAACCTTCGCACCACTACTCCTACACTCTTTATATGGTAGCTACACACCACCATGCTCAGCAATAGCACTGTCATGCCAAGCCCCAGGGCAGCAGTTGTACACTGTCATCCTTATTCTATCATCTGGTGCAAAGGCAATTCCACTATTGACATAGGTATTCTCCTTCCAGGCATTGTAGAATGGTCTTTGTTTGTACCAATCACCAGAGGCTTGAATTACTTGCTTCAGTCCATCAGCAGCACCCCAAATGTGTTGTTCTCCAAGCCTTGGATACTTGTTGTCTCCAATAGCCTTAACATAATCATCCACTTCTTGCTCAGTTGGGATACTGACCATGGCATCCAGGTGTTTATGAAGAGCAACAAGCATCACTCACCTTGAAAACTTGAGCCACTTGTACATTACTGTGGATGCCAAGCCAAAGGCCATGGGCATTGACCTTGCAAAGTGATCCTCTTATCCTGAACCGATAAAGGACCAGTCCAATAGCACAGATTGCATTGACCTCTCTCTTCTTCTTCCCCTTGGGCTTTCCACTAGTATGGTAACAGGGTACTTCCACAATTTCATTGTTGTTGTTGACAGCAAACTTGTTGTATACTGGAGCAAACAGGTCAACAAGCTCTCTGTAGACTTTGTGGTCTACACCACATTGATCAAGTTTAGAGTGGAACATATGTAGGAATGGTGATTGAGCATACCTCCTGATTGCAAGCCATGGAGTTGTTCTTCTGTCCCTTCTTCTCCTCTCTTCTGGGGATAATTTGCTTTTATAACTTTGCTTGTCTGTGTTCAACTACTGGATGTACCAGTACATTGTGATGACCTCCACGACTTCCATGATTGTCAATGTTGCCTTCTTCTTTCTTCTGTCTAATAGTGTGACTACTGGCAACAGTTTGTTGTCGACTTGCAATGCCTACTAGTACTAGTGCAAGGAACATACATACAAGCACTAGTAAAAGCACTAAAACAAGACTAGTAGCAAGAAGAAGAAGCAACAAACCCATGATGGTACTAGTAGCAGCAACAACAGGAGCACACCAGAGGTGAGCAAATGCAAGGAAGCGACACGGCAGCAGAACAGTAACAACAAGCAAGCAGGGCAAGAATGGAAGATATACCATTCACTTCTTCTTGAACTGATGGAACACTTTACAGGAACATTGAATCATGGTGGACCAAGTGCTGGAGAACATCAATACCCCAGTAGTGATAAGATCTTTAGTACGCACAAGTCAAGGAGGAGCTGAGCCATCTAAAGTCCATCAATATCTACAAGTTCTTTGCAAAGAAAGTGTATGCTCTACCTTATGGTACGTACATCACAGGCAGGGGTCATAAATTTAGGAGGGGTGCACAACACATCAAAAACTCATATTCCATCCTTGGTCGTACCACCAATAAGAAAAATTTCACCAGAGAATTTTTTTCACTTCATTTTTACTGTGTACTACTACTAGTTCTTATACTACTAGTACCTCCTCATGGGAAAAGAATAAGAGTTTTTAAGGATTCGCGCGTGCCCTTTTTCGGGAAGCTCCATCTCAGCAACCAGTCGTTGTCTGACAGTGTTTGACATATCCAAAGATGCAGAAAAAAGAGTACTATGACTAGTTTGCAGTGTCATTGTCAAGCAATGACTTGCCATTGAGAAGAAGCTTCCCAAAAAAGGGCAGCGTATGTATTTTTCGATAGTTAGAAATAATCAGTTTTAGATATTGTGGGAGTGACTGTCCTAAAAGAGATGTAAAGTGTGTGCTAGTAGAAAAGTGAGTCGATGCTCTTATCGAGGATCGACGAACTATGAAATCTAG